TTTTTTTTTTAATCTTTACGTTATTTCTTGGGATTAAGAGAGGTTAATTTTGCTCAAGCCTCTTTTTTGTGCTTCAAGTTTTGCCTTGATGCGACATATCGATGTATTTTGAGGAGGCGTTTTTTAGTTGCGCTTTATAAAGAATTCATGTATTCTTTTAAAGTTTTTTTTTTTTTGTCAAACTAGAGCTCCTGCTCTCTTGGGGTTCCCACACTAAGTAGAAATGAGAGAACTCAGACCACCCAAACAGACTGCTCCCTGCCAGCTGTTCCTCCAGGCCCGGAGAGCTGGGTGCCCTGTCTGTGCTCGTGGTGTGGCGGGGGGTCCGAGGTTGACCTGCAGGCTCCATCTTCGTGCGTGGGCGCAGGCTGACTCAGCAGGCTAGGCCGCTGGGAGCCTGCCGTTTCCAAGGAGGGCCTGTGTGACGACAGGCTGCCTCTGGAATGTTCTGACAGGTAACTGTTCTGCCCGCTGAGGGCCTTGAGCACATGGGACCCATTTGCTTGGATGGTTCCTACTGGGAGTATGGGGACAGCAAACGCCTGCCTTCCCTCTGGGCGTCTGGCGCTTCTGTGACTGACCCCCGAGAAGAACCCTGGACACCCCGGCTCGGGGCGCTTCCCTGGTTGACAGTGCTTCATGTGTGTCGCCCGCCCATTGGAGGATTGTGTGTGTCCTGGGGTGACTAACGGGGCTCTGGCAGCTGTGCCTGGTCTCCCCCTAACTTGTTCCATGCCTTTTTCTCTGCCGGTTTTCCTCTGGGTCCTTGCGCTGTGACAAGCTGTGACCGTGACTGTTGTCAGTCCTAGTTAGTCATCGAGCCTGTGAGGTCTGCAACCCTCAGTGCCCCGTCCCATTGGCTCTTTCCAGATACTTGCTGCCGGAGTTTCGGAGGGAAACAAAGGAAGGTTGGGGGACCTGGCTTTGCCAACGAGTTACTCTGCGAGGCTGGGCAGGTGACAGCATCTCTGGCCTCAGTGTCTTCGCACGTGAAAACAGGATGACTGAAAGTTTAGGTCCTCTCCAGCCAAGCCCACGTCCACCAGGCCCCACCTCTGCCTGGTCCAGACCTGGGGGACACCATCTCACCGCCCAGGACTGAGTTCGTGGTGCTTCCTAGTGGACGCCGCCTGTCTTAGCCATAACGTGAAAGCTCTAGTGACTCGACTCAGGGTTCGTAGGACACGTTTCTGATGGTGCTTGTGATCGGTGTTCAGGTTGCTGGGAGAAGGGCTGTGCTTCACGTTGTGCCCTGGGAAGCCGTAATTGGAGGTGACTGGTGGGTGGGACCTCGTGCTGGACCTGAGGGGGCGCCCAGCCCGCGGGACCTCCTCCTCACACAGCTCTGAGGGCCGGAGTCCTGGCCGGGCCCCAGCAGTGTTGGAGAGGCTGCTGCTTTTCCCCAAAAGGGCTGCAGTCAGTGACCCAGTGTGGTGTGTGACGTCAGGGCGTGGGCCTCCACTCACCGAAGCTGTCCCCCGCGAGAATCTGTGGTTAACGGGACAGGAGTTCAAGAGAAGCCTCTTTGGAGATTAAAAAGACCAAGTTCTGTCACGGAGCAGAGTGGGGCTCCCCCGTTTGAGAAGGGGGGCAGATACAAATTCCTGAAAGCATTGGTGTGCTTGGCGCTTAGGTGGGAAGATGCTGACACCCAGCAGTGGCCGGCTGGCTGGTGGCTTGTTCCGTTAGCCACATGCCAGCCAGCACTGCTGCTGTAGGCGACAGCGCTGTCACCAGGTTCTGGGTGGGGAGGTCGTGCCCTCCGTTTGCAGGGAAGACAGGGCTGTGCTTCTGCTTCCTCTGCTGCTCAGCGGAGAGGTTGAGGCAAGGCCTACAGCTGCAGTGGCCAAGAGTTTTGCGAGGACAGGTCCGGCGGGGCGTCTGTGCCCGCCGAGGGTCTTGCGTTCCTGGGAAAAGGCGCTGGGGTGTTGGAGCTGGGGCAGGGCGGCGGGCACACCTCCCTGCAGGGAAGCCCTGAGCTTGGCAAGCGCCGTGGGAGGTGCGCTGTCACTGGCGTGGTGTCTCAAGGACACTGCCGTGTGAGTGGTCCGGCCTCCCGTGCGCACTGCGCGGTCCTCAGCTTCTACGGGCTGTTGGGCTCTGACGTTGGGCTGGAGACCGGGCCACAGGGCTAGCGTAGCTCGAGGTCCAGTCATCGCCGGCTGCTGTCGTTCTCTCTGGGTCTGTGTGGAGAAGCCACCCTGGGTAACAGGAGGGACGGTGGCGGTCCCAGCCTCTCCATCACAGACAAGGATGCCCTTTTGCTCTCCTGAGCCTGGGCCCCTGGCTGTCCCCCAAGTCCTCCAGCACAGCGCGGTCCCGGGGCCTGCGGTCTCTGCCTGCCTGGGGACACTGGCCGCCATCGCGAGACGGGCCCGTGCGTAGCGTCACTGAGCTTCGCGCCTCTTGCTTCCGCGTGACCCTGTGCGGCACAGTCGTGGCTGGCGCTGTCTGGGGCACTGCGAGCGCCTGTCATGAATCCACCCAGCACTCAGGACTGTCGTCCGAGTGGCCGCCTGGCTGTGTCAGACGTGGTGGTCGGGTCTCGGGAGCTTGTTCCCCAGCTTCTGTCCCTGTGTGTTCTCGGAATCCCCAGTGCGGGGCAGCGGGCGCGCCTCTGTGGGCATCCCTGCCTCTTCGGTCCCCCCTGCTCTGCGGCTCTGCGGCCCCTTGACCCTGAATGTGGGGCTCCTCCCCACCCCCTGCAAGTCCAGTGCCCTGACGCCAGGCATGGGACACCTGTGCCCCTGCATCGTAGGTGGTGGCCTCACTCCAGTGACGGCTGCAGGCGTTCTGAACAGATGTCAGCCGGGTGCTGCTAGGACAGGCACTTAGCTTAGTGACTGCAGTGGGGGGCGGGGGGCACTCAGGAAATCTCCCCTGAGGAAGCATCTCACCTGGGGCTTAAAGGCAGGCCGGGTAGAGTGGGGCGTGCATGTGTTGGATGGACACTCAGGAGGCTGGGACGGTGGCAGCCCAGTGTCCTACAGTGTCGGGTGGCACCCTGCTGACCCTCAGCCAGGAGCGTTGGGGGCGGCTGGATCCCTGTGCCACCCAGAGCTGAGACAGCTGTGTGCGTAGAGGACAGAGTGGGCCGTCGTTACACAAGCGAGGCCGGGCCCAGACACAGCTGCTTCTCTGCATTAAAAACACCTTTGACTTTGTTTCTGCTGTGAAAGTTAATAAAGGTACAAATCGCTCTGAAACCTGTTCTCGGGCATCAAGGTGTCTGGTGAGCACTGTCGCAGTTGACAGATAGTTCCAGGCACTCACGTCTGGGACTCAGCCATCCCCGCTGTAACGTACTGGGTAACTCCCGCTGCTGTTCTGAAGTGATTCGTAGAATAAATACAATCGCCCTTTCAGCCTCAAGGAAAAGAGTGTAACGCCCAGGCTGTAGTTGGGGAGACGTTTGAAAGCGTGGTTTGGTGGCGTGTTCTCAGAGTGCTTTGCACGACGGCACAAGGAGACGGAGGAGGTCACGCTGCCTGTGTGTAGCAGCTCTGAATGCAGCAGCCACAGAGGTGTGCTGTGCCTGTCTGGGGGACTCCAGCACCGGGGTCAGCAGTATATTTGGTGACAGTCCTAGCAAAACCAAGTGCTGTCTTCTCAACTACCTGGTGGCTGAATTCCAGGAAAATTCAGTGTGTATTAAAATAAAATAATAGAAAACCATTTCTTGGTTCTGCAGTAAATCAGAGTCCCGGCAGAGCTGAGGGTTCTCCACATTGCAGGAGGCCCCTCCCACACAACCGAATGTGTCCCCTCCAAGGTCTTCACGTGGGACGCGTACACTTACGTGTCACATGTTCCAGCCTCAGAACCGAGATTTTCCTGTGGAATTGATTTTCTCACACTCGAATCCCTGTTTGTTTTCAGGCACCTGGACTCCATTCAACCCCGTGACGGTCAGGTCGATCATATGTAAGTAACGGCGCGGCGTCTCGCCCACGTGGGCGAACGGCTGTGAGCCGCTTGTCCAGCTGGTGCATCCCTCCCTGTCCCCGCAACCACACCCCGAGCCCCGGGCAGGCGCGAGGCCCGCTCCGCCTGCCGTGTCCCACACCGACACTTTACTGTTGGTTTCCGCACCTTCGAGGTCCCAGTCCCGGAGACCGCAAGTGCCCACGGGAGGGGGCTCCGGCCCTTGGCTGCTCACCCGCATCATCGCCCGGTGAAAGTCAGTGAATCGTAGAGCGCTTCTTGCCAAACCAGGAGCTGGAATCACGGTCTCAGTTGACCTCGCTCCCAGAGAAGACACCAAATGACTTATTGTTGTTGTCCTTAGAGCAGTAGTGCAGGCTGAGTGTGTACACGTGTATGTTAGCCGTCTTGCAATTGTATGTAAATGGGGCTTTCGGTTCTTTTGTATTTGGACCTGGAATTGGGCTGGTATCTTAAAATGCAAGGCAGGTCTTGCCGAGAAAGCAAAGCCAGTAGAGTCTTTGTCCTCGGAGGGGGCTCTCCCGGCCACGGGCTCCTCCGAGCCTCCTGGAGGGCAGAGGGGCGCTCCAGGCCCAGAGCTAGGGGCTGGGCGCTTCACTGCCCCTCGGCATCTGCCTGGCAGAGCAGGCGCTCCCTCCCCCCCGTGGTCGTGCTGCCAAGTGAGGCCTTCTCGTTACTGTGGCTCTGATGGTGGGTTTTGCTTGCACGTTCCTTTTCACGGGGGCTGTGGATGGGTGCCAGTCCCCACGCCCCTCACTCTGCCCGTGAGCATTGATCAGCAGCACTTGGGGATTCGCTCGCCAAGCACCGTGCTGGTCCTGTGCTGGTCCCATAGGAAACTAGGGCTCTGGGGACACGGGGACATGGCGGCGTGGGTGCGGGCCCTGCCGATCGACCCCAGGGTTGCGTTTGCCACGCACCACTGACGCCCCTTTCCGTCTCAGCTATGTTCGACCGCGAGAACAAGGCTGGCGTGAACTTCAGCGAGTTCACCGGCGTCTGGAAGTACATCACGGACTGGCAGAACGTCTTCCGCACCTACGACAGAGACAACTCTGGGATGATCGACAAGAACGAGCTCAAGCAAGCACTCTCAGGTTTCGGTAATTCGCTGCTTTGATTGTGTGGCATGTTTCATTTTGGAAACCAGGTGCCAGGAAACATTTTTTACTTTGTTCAACTTCCTGACTTTTTTAATCCAATATGTGAAATTTTTGTTTACATCATACAGGTTTAAGTTTTGATATTATTGGAGACTTTTGTACGGTGTTCATCCAAAATGAGATAAGGGCTATGCAATCGTTTATCTTTTGTGATTTGAGATGACACGAGCACATTGAGAATGTGGCTTTGAAACATTTTAAATCGAATAAGTGAAAAAGACAGTGTAGAGCGGCTGCTGTTTCATGGTGCATTGAAATACACAGAAAGATGAGAGCGCCCATGAGTGCCGATCCTGAGCTGCAGTGCAAATCGCATGCCTCAGGCACCGAGTCAGCACAAGCTCCCATTCTCAAGTGTGCGTCAGCCTGAGTGTGTTGTGCCACACGCCTGCCAGGCCTGGGTGTGCTCACACCACATGCCTGCCAGGCTTGAATGTGGTCACACCACACGCGTGCCAGGCCTGGGCGTGCCATGCCACACGTGTGCCAGGCCTGGGTGTGCCGTGCCACACGTGTGCCAGGCCTGGGTGTGCCATGCCACACGTGTGCCAGGGATGGGTGTGCCGTGCCACACGTGTGCCAGGCCTGGGTGTGCTCACACCACATGCGTGCCAGGCCTGGGTGTGCCGTGCCACGTGTGCCAGGCCTGAGTGTGCTCACACCACACGTGTGCCAAGCCTGGGTGTGCTTACATCAGTGGGGCCCGGCCACCAGGACTGGCACGTCCACACGCGTGCCAGGCCTGGGTGTGCTCACACCACACGCGTGCCAGGCCTGGGTGTGCCGTGCCTTCAGGAGCGTTCGCTCGGCACCTTTCGGAGTGGGTCGGCGGGCCTTCCGATGTCAGCGGTGGGTCTGAGAGGCAGTTGGAATTTCTTATTTAGAGAGGAGGAACTGAAATGTGGGCTTGCGTGGAGTTGCACTGAGACTCTAATTTGGGTCAGTTCCTCTTGGCCCTGCATTCACGGGCCCGTGTTACAGAACCACTCTGTTTCGCTTAAAAGGCTGCTTATAAATGCCTTCTTGAAAAATAAGAGAAGTTAGGTCACGATGTAGTACGTTCTAAGTATCTTGAGTTTAATAACATAAACTACGTTTCAGTTCTTGGGGTTGTTGACGTAGTTCCTTCCTCCCTGTGTTTTTTCTGGCCACGTACTTCACGGCTGTCTCCCTTTTGCTGTCCTTTCCTGCCTCATGAACTCGGACCTGGCTGTGCCCTTGGCTGGGGGCCGGTGGGGGCCTGGCCCGGCTGGGGCGGCCTTGGGAGGAACCAGGACCCTGCGGCAGTTCCAGACGGGTGACTCCAGTTCCACAGAGCGCGGTGCTTTCTATCCCCGTCAGGCCTGGAGACGCCAAGGCAGACAGTGGCCCAGTCCCCTGCCCCCAGTCAGACGCCAGGCCACTTGCAGCTGTGGCGGAGACACGCAGGGCAGGTGGCTGCCCCTCGCACTGGCAGTGCCGACACCCTTCCCGACTTCCCAGCTTTTTCTGGAGGAAGTAAATGTTCTTTTGCACCGTTGCTTCTGTTATTCCAAAAAGTTTCTTCCTGTGATGGGTCCGTGATCTCCGGAGCCTTCCCCAGGGCCTTGTCTTCCATGAAAGCAGCACTGTCACCCTTTGGGTGACATGGGTCATTTTGGGACATTTCTCAACTGCTAGAAGCATGCCGCAGAAGCAGAGTCCTCTTCGGATTTGACCCCTGGGAACAGGCACGTCCCTCGGGGTAACCAGGGATGTGAGGGGTGTGAGGCTGGAGCCCTCCGTGTCCTGTCAGCTCTGTGGCTCCACAGGAGCCGTGTGACTGACTGGCACACGTGCCGGATTTGATAGTCCGTCCATTCGTTTACGATTTTTTATTCTGAATGCGTCCGTGTGCCAGGCACGGCCCTCGGCCCCGTCAGCACGGAGGCCGCGGTTCCAGGGGCAAAAGTCGTGCCCACCAGGTGCTTCCCTCCCCACCCCCAGCCCGTCGGCCTCTGGCCGGTCTCATGTTTGTTATGAAAACTTGATGAAAGTAGGAATGACCCCCATGTGCTCATCACTTCTTTTCAACGTTTCCCCTTGTTTAGCTGCATCTGCTTTGTCTGCAGTGGCGGTCGGGGTGCGGCCCGCGGCCAGCAGCCCAGGTCCGCCAGGGCCCCGCAGTGGGGGCGCAGGGAGCCCCTTGTTAGTCTTTGCTGCTGGGCCTTCACTGCAGGGACTGCGCAGAGCGGGGTGCTCCGGATGTGGCCCCTCGGTAGGCAGTCTCCTCCTGCTGTTTGCTCATCGCCCGTGTTCTAGTCTGACCCCGCAGTGATGGTGAGGTCCGGGCCCCTGATGGCTGTGTCCGCCGTCTGGGGGTGGCGGGGTCCTGCGTGGCTGCTCTGGCCTGTCCTTTCCCAGGCTGAGCATCGCACAGCCGGCATTGTTTGCGCGTGGCCGCAGGCAGGGTGCTGGGCGTGGGTTGTTGGGCCGGGGGGGCGGGGTGCACCCCCAGGACCTGCCCTCGCTCTGAGCCAGGCCTACCCCCGTGTTCTCAGCTCGCAGGGAGGGCCTGGGTTCAGGTCGCAGACCTACGAAGCACACCGGCTAGTCGGGAAGGGGCTGTCGCGTGTGTGCGTTTGCGAGTCCTTTCCATGGAGGTGTTCAGTGTCACACGGGTGACTAACTGTGACGTTCGCTCAGACAGTAGGCGCACGCCCCTCGCAAGGACTGCGGAAGGCGTGGGAAGCAGTAGGAATGTTCTGGCCCCTGATCTTGTCTCCAGATCAGCAGGGTACCGTGGGCACACGGGTGGTGGGATAAAGGGTAGGAAGGAGCTGTCTCCATTTGCAGTGATCCCTGGGGTGTCCCCCACACGGGCTGCGTGTCCCCACGTCTTCAGAGCCGCCCTCCTGCTGGAGACCTCCTCAGGATCTTCTCAGTAAATGGAAAATGGAGTCGGGACTCTGCCGTAGCGTTTGGCAGCGCGTTAGCGGGCTTGAACCTGGCAAGGCTGCCCTGCGCCTTGTAACGTTCGCTTTCCTGCTGCCGGCACGTGCGGCTCGGTGGGAGCCTCTGTCCACTAGTGTCCGGTTTTCCAAGTGCACGTTCTGTGGAATTGGAAGCCTGGAGCGAGGGCCTCTCCGCGCGCACTCTAGTGACGAGCAGCGCAGAGCTCTCTCCCGTCTGGGTTCACGACTGTCGGGAAAGGGCTGTTTAAAAGGGGGACTCGCTGCATTCAAGGAACAGCTTGGCTGCCCTGTGGCGAGGTGTGGCAGGCGGGTGTGACATGGACCAGTGAGGTCACGTGGCGGCACTGCCCCCAGCTACACCCGGCCTATCGCCTGGCACTGCTGAACGACTTGCTTCAGAGTGCGTTGGAGTGCCTTTGCTGCATGTGTCCCATCAGCCCGGGCCACTGTGTCCCCGTGGTTAGGGCGGGTCTCCTGGAGGGGGAGGGGTGTTGACCGAAGGTCCCTTTTCTCTGGTCCCTCTTCAAGGCTACCGGCTCTCCGACCAGTTCCACGACATCCTCATTCGGAAGTTTGACCGGCAAGGACGGGGGCAGATCGCTTTTGATGACTTCATCCAAGGCTGCATCGTTTTGCAGGTACCGGGCCCCAGAGGGCGGGGGTCAGCGCAGCTGCGGTGGGTCTCTGGAGCTCCTGAGCCAGCCCTGCCTTTGGGGAAGCGGCTTTCTCCTGGTCCACGGGGGCGAGCAGTGCTGCTCACGCCCCTGGCGGCGTCCGTGGCCGGTCGGAGGCGCTGCTCCTCCCGTGTCCGGCTCTGCTGTTCTTGTTGTGTCTCATCCCAAGGGGATGATCGTCCCCCTGCGCGGGGCCTCGTGCGGGCTCTCACCTGCTCCGCCCGATCCCTGCATGGTTCTGAGGTGCGCCCCCAGAGAAGCAAGTCCGGAGCTGTGGGAGCTGCCGCCCTGCCCTGGCTGTCCCCACACGGGCCCCGTCCTGTTGCTCGGCGGGGACCCGAGTCCCATAGACTCTAGGCTTTAGAAATGCACGGAACTTTTGAATACTTGTTTGTATTCCAAAATTTTATTACTACAAATTTCAAAGACGAGCAGGGACAGCATGTGCCCGTCACGCGGGCCTAGTGCTGGTCAGCTCACGGCCGGTACTCTGGGGCGCCTTCCCTCGAAAGTGTGTTTGCTGCATGGAGGGTTCCGCAGAGCCCGCAGCGTGCGTCCCCAGGGAGGGCCCAGCTGTCCCTCACGGCCCACGGGAGGTGCAAACAGCCTGAGGGTTTTCAATGGAATTTGGGGAAACAGTCTCCGATTTTCTTCCTCATTATAAAGCGATGGAGTAGCAGAAGTGTAGTTTCGCTGGCGTCTTGACCCCTGGCCCCGTGAAGCTGGCAGGTCAGTCTGAGTGACAGCCGGAGGTCTCTGATCTCGTGTCTGGCTCTCAGGGTCTGGCGAGGCTGGGTCACGTTTTCACACTGTCGTCTGAACACTTGAGGAAAGGGCGAAGTGTGAGAGTCTCCTGGCCCGTGTGTGAATCGCTCTCGGGTTAGGATTTTCGTTTGAGGTTACGGCCCGCGAGTGAACGTCTGACCCTGCACGTCCGCCCGGCAGAGGCCGCTGCGCTGGCTCAGCAGCCAGGCGGTGCCACCTGAGTCCTGACCTGAGTCCCGCCAGACGCTGCCCCTGGGCGAGGGCTGTCCTTCCCGCTGTGGCAGGCCCCACCCACGCTTCGAGAATGACCCTGAGCATGGACAGATGGGAAGGCCACAAGTGAAAAACTTCTTTTACCGAAAAGAGAAAGGCTTTTTGAAAATTGTTTTTGACAAAATAACATGAAAACTGGTAGGAATCTTGGAAAAATACAATTAAAACAAGAAAAATTTGCCCATTGCTCCAGCCAGGAGTTCGGTGCTGCCGCTGCTGTCGGTTTCGCACGCGCTCCGGGGTGCTCCCGTTCGATGCCAAGTGGACGGTCACGTGTGTCCGGCCCGGTTTGCCGTAGCTCTTTCCGCTGCCGCAGGGCAGAGGTGTGGCCCAGATCACGCGTCAGGCTTCTCAGCCGGCCGGCCACCAAGGTCACAGTGGACCTGGTGTTATTTTCTTGCCACGGAACGGCGGCGTATCTGTCTCCTCTAGTCGTGCGATTCTTCGGAACCTGTCCTGGTTGCCCAGCTCTGTGTTCTGGGCCAGCACGCACCTAACCGTTGGGCACAGGTGGCCTCCCCTCTGCTCCTGACCCGACCTGGGGCGTTAGGCTTGTGGAAAGACTGAGATGGAACCCTGGGGTGGGGGACAACAGACAGGAGGACTTGGGGGGCAGCACGGACAGTTCCCGTCCTGTCACTGGGGCCTCACCTGCTGGGGACAGGTTCTGAGGAGGAACCTGGGGTCAGACCTAGCCTGGGGGTGGTGCTCAGAGGTCCCCTGCCCGTGCCTCCCTGCGCTGGCCTCTGTCGGAGTGAGGGGATGTGGAGACACGATGCCTCTGAAATTGGCTTTCTAAAGGTCTTTTCGCGAAATACGTTTTGTTTTTTCCGTTGAATGAATATCGAGATTTAAACATCTGTGGTTTTTTCCCAGAGGTTGACAGATATATTCAGACGCTATGATACGGACCAGGATGGCTGGATTCAGGTGTCCTACGAGCAGTACCTTTCCATGGTCTTCAGCATCGTATAACCCAGGACTTCTGCAAACAGCGACGTGATTACGGAAGAGAGACTGAAAATGCCAAACCTCTTACTTTAACAAAATGGAGCACGGACGCATAGACGCTGTTCTTCCTTCAGGGTTCATGTGATTGGTGTTTGGGGACCCAGCTGTACATATGTAGATAATAAGCTGATCGGCGTTTGCACAGTCGTAACGGTGGTCGTGTCGTTACTCAGATGCAAGCATTTGATTTGGGGCTGTTTAATTGTGCCATAAGGTGAGGCCTGAGAATGCTTCAGGTGTTCTGCATGTATAAAATTTATCATGTGCTTTCCTAGATGGTTCTAATTCTGTAGTAGAAATACCTGTATTAACCAATAAGAGTTTTGAATTAATATGTAACTTGCACAGAAGACTTTTCATGTGCCTTACTTTTTAAAAAAAGGGTTTATTGTATTCATTTGAATATGCAGCGTAAGCAATAAAGCAATGTGCCCCTGTCCCATCCGCCTCAGAAGCGCGTGCGGGGTCCGGGGCATGGCTCTGCCTGTGGAGAAGTGTGGGTACCTCCCTTCGCGTTCCAGGAGTTTAAATTTCATAAAACTTTGGACACACAAATCCCCATGTGGGTCAGCGGCGTGTAAGCGTCTGTCATCTGCTCATGGTTCACTCTGCACCTTTGCTGGCTGGTTAGAGTGTCACACGTGAAGGTGGAGCTACTGGCCAGCCCACCCTGGTCGCCAGCGTGGCCCGGCCTTGCCACGTACTCACGGCATCTGTCCCTCCCCCCAAGTGTGCTTCCGCAAACCAGGATTTGGGGTGGGGTTGCGAGGACATTAGGGTTCTGGCTGGGTGTCTGATTTGTAAATGAGTGTGGGACATCAGAAATTGGGTGGCCTGAGTATCCGTGCTCGGGGGCCTGGGGGGCTGTGTAGTGGTGTTGGTGTCACTGACCATGATCTGGGGGACTCGGGCACCTTGTCAGCTCAGTGGGGTACGGTTTGGAGGGTTCCCAGCCTTTTACGTTTTGCCTCCTCTGCGGATGCCCACATATTTGTGAGATGGAACCAGCACGTGACCCCAAGTTGTGCTTTAGAGCGGTCAACTCCCTGATCCCCAGTTCCAAATTCACAAGTACAAGCGGCCTTCAGACCCTAGGCCCTAAGCTGCAGACTCCATGAGGCCATCAGACCCTGGAACCCAGGTTCCCGACTCCGTGAGTCCCACAGCCTCTGTGTTCTCACGGACACGCTGGCCTCCACACCTCTGCGCCAGTGGCCCCACTGCGTCCCCAGCGTCCCCATCCACGTGCCCACCCGGCCTGCCGTGGCTGCTTATTACAGGGGCCTGTGGAAGACGCCGATCCCAGGCCTGCAGTGACTCTAGGCTCAGAGCGAGGGCAGCAGGCGCGTCACCTGTCCAGCCTGGCGGTGCTCTGCCGTCCACATGCCGCCTTCCCCATCCCCCCACCTCACCCCCCCGCCCCACAGCTGCCGTCCCTTGGGCCTGGATCCGTCCCGGAGCCCCAGGAGGCTGGAGACCCTCGAGCTGGTCTCAGCAGTGGCAGCTCATGGCCCTGGTGAGGTACCTTCCCCCAGGTGTAGTCGGTGCTTTTCTCTAGGCCACTTGATGCCAGACGGTGGATGCCGAGAGGCTGTCCGCTCACATGAGCTCGTGGGGGTGTGGGTGGCTCTGCTTCCTGACGTGGAAAGGCGAGGTGGCGACTCACAAAGGAAGTCTGTCTACCCGCATTGGCCCGGACAGCTGTTCCACATGGGACCAGTGTGGGCTTCCCAGGTGTGTGGTGCAGATGCTCAGGTAAGGTACGTGTGCTCAGGTGCGTGGTGCAGATACTCTCACGTGAGTGTCAGAGATACAGACAGGTGTGTAGTGCAGGCACCCACGTGAGCCTCAGTGGGAGTCAGGTGTGGCCAATGGAGGCACGGTGAGGAGTGGGGCCAGTGGGGACCTGGGGGATGGCGAGTAGGGTGGAGTGTGTGGCAGCGACTCGGGCTGGGGGGTGGGGACAGGGCCCTGTTCTGGAAGGCGGGAGAGGCAGGTTGGCTGAGGGGTTGGGGGCCCTGCTTCGGAGCCGGGCTTAGGGGCTGCCTGAGAGCTAAGCCGGGTGCCTCACCGTCAGAACAGGAAGGACGTGCAGCAGCCTGGAGCCGCGGCCGGCCACATGGGGGCAGCACAGTCACGCCTGGGAGGGACGCTCACCCTCCCTCAGCTGCCAGCCTGGATTCACAGAAGCCGCCGAACCAGGGACAGTGGGCTTCCCGTTGTGCAGGGGGCAACAGCGCTGCAAAAAGCTGCAAAACCTAACGACTTCGGCAGCTTTGTGTCCGCGACTTTGCTCCAGAGCTGTGCCGAAGCCACGGAGTCGGAGCTGGGACAGGCACCAGCTCCATGGGGCCGCCGGCCTCAGCACGGGCACGGGGAGGCCAAGCCGGGCCAGCTGCTGAGGCCACCGCTGTCCCTGGTCCCTGTACCCTATCCCGCACAGCTCCCCGTCCCCATTCCCCATTTCCTGTCCCCTGGTCATTTCTCCTCATCTACTCTCAGCTCCCTCCATCTGAACGGTGCTGATGGGCCAGCTCCTAATGTGACCTACAGAGGCAGAAGAACCTGCCTGAGACCTCTGGAGTCCTCCCCCACTTCACAGGAGGAAATAGTACCCGAATCGTGAATCTGACCAAGGAGGGGAGGAGGTAGAGGTCTGGAGACACAGCAGGTGTCACCACCCACCTGGGTAGGTGGCAATGGGGGCTGTTAGCACTCCCCTGGGGAGGGCGGGGTCTGCAGGTGGAGCGGAAGTCAGATCCCTTTCTCTGCTGTGTGGCCGTCAGCCCCCGTGGCGTCCCCACTGTGTCCTCCTGTCCTCTCTGACCAAGGTGCCCCATTCAGAGGGGCCACCTTGCTTCCTGGAAGGTAGGAACCTGAGGGGCTGGGCCGTATGTGCCCTCATACCCAGCCCCTCACCTCATAGCCCCCAACAGATGGGCCTGGAGCCAGCTCGCCACTTCTCCATGGCATAAATGGAGTGTGGACTTACTCGTGGGTGCACGTGTGTGTGAATGTGACTGTGATCGATGTCTGACCCCACAGAGTGGAGGCTCCAGGAAGCTGGCCCACGTCTGCTTTTAGGCGTCGGAGCACACAAAGCAGGACGAATAGGTAAAGTGGGGGGCGGTTCTTACCTGGTTTGTGTGTATTGGTGGTAAAACGCGTCGGAGCACACAAAGCAGGACGAATAGGTAAAGAGGGGGGTTCTTACCTGGTTTGTGTGTATTGGTGGTAAAATGTAGGGAAGATAAAATTTGTCACCTTAACCATTTTAAGCGCACAGTTCTGTGCATTAAGTGCGTTCACACTGCTGTGCAGCCATCACCACCATCATGTCCAGGACTTTCTCCTTGTCCCAAACTGGACCTCTGTCCCCATTAAACACTCACTCCCTCCCGTCCCCCGGCCCCTGCGAACCACCATCTGCTGTCCCTGTGGTTCTGACCCTCCAGGGACCTCGTATGAGTGACGTCACACAGCGTTCGTCCTTCTGTGCCTGGCTTATGTCACCCAGCATAAAGTCCTCCAGGCTCACCCATGTGGCAGCCCGTGCCAGGATTCCCTTCTCATTAAGGCTGTCACACCGCATCGCGTGCACACACATCTCGTGCTCATCCATCATGTTGGTGGACACGGCCCGTCCTTCCGTCTGGGGGAAGTGCTGCTCTGACCATTGGTGCACAGATGTCTCTTCAAGTCCCTGCTGCCAGTCCTTTCGGTTACACCCCGGAAGCGGCGAAGCCGTGGAATTATTTGCGGCCCCTCCCTGCTGTTTCCCACAGTGGCTACACCATCTGAGGTTTCTGCCAACAGTGCACGAGGGCCCAATCTCTGCACGTCGCTGCTCGTTTTGGGGGGCTTTCTTCGTGAGGGCCATCCTAATGAGTGTGTGGGTGTGAGGAGGTATCTCCCTGTGGTCTGGGCTGCGTCTACCTAGTGATTAGTGAGGCTGAACATCTTTTCACGTGCTTACTGGCCACTTGTGCATCTTCTTTGGAGAGATGTCAAGTCTTTTTCCCATTTTTTAATTGGTCGTATTTTTAGTGTTGAATCGTAGGATATCTTTATACGTTCTGTATAGTAATTCCGAATCAGATCTGCGATTTGCGATTATTCTCTCCCATTCTGTGACCGGTTGCCTTTTCGCTTTGTTGTGTCCTCTATGCACAAAAGTTTTCAATTCTGATGTAAGTTTTCCTGTTGTTACCTGTGCTCGCGGTGTCATTATGTAGGGAATGTTTGCCAAATCCAATGTCATGAAGCTTTTTCCCTGTGTGCCCTTCTAAGAGCTCTATTTTCTATGTTTAGGTCTTTGATCCATTTTGAGTTCACTTTTGCACATGGCATGGTGTGAGGGTCCAGCTTCATTCTGCACGTGGAGGCCTTGTCGCCCCGACACCACGTGTTGGGAAGAGTCTCCCTTCCCCATGAAGGCTCGGCACCTTGTCCGGCATCACCCACCACATGTGTGAGCTCACCTCTGGGCTCTGCTCTGTCCCGTGGGCCTGTACTTACCTGTTTTCTAGACAGGAAGACGGAGACCCAGAGAGAGCCTGAGGTGCCCTTCACGTGGCCCTCAGCGATGCAGAGCTGGGGAGGGAGGCAGAGCTTCAGTCTCTGTCTAAGGCCTGCAGACGCCTGCTCCCAAAACCCCTGGAGGGAGTGGGAAGAGGTGCTGGGCCCAGCACAGCCTGGGGCCACTCACAAGGGGGCTGAACGAGCCCCCCACCCCCAGGCAGGCAGGAGGTCAGAGAAGTCACTGTCCTGAGAAGGTACCTCCTGTGCCCCCACAAGCCCACTGTGCACAGTGCTGGCAGGGCAGTCTCCCCTGCCCCGAACCCCGCCCCCCGCAAGCTCCAGCAACTGGTCATCTGAGGCTTTCCTTCTGAGAAGCACTGGGAACTCAATGCAGGCTGGCGTCTCTCAGATGACCTGAGATGCATCCACTGTGTGGGGGACGAAACTGAAAGCAAACGAATAGACTGGGACCAGACGTGGATAGTGGTGGCCGGAGGGGAGTGGGGGAGGGGACGGCAGATGGGGTACAGGGGGTCAAATGTCTGGTGACGGAAGTTTAACTTTGGGTGGTGAACACACAATGTGCCGTCTGTGATGTACTGTTGAATTGTATACCCGAAACGTTTGTCACCTCAATAATTTTAATAAAAAAAGAGAACCTATTCAATAAGAAAGAAAATACAGAATAAGAATTGTAGAAATTAAAAGTAGACTACCTGGAAGGGGGAGACGGGAAAAACTGCAGGGAGGAAATC